AAAAAAAAAAAATCAGCCATTAAAAATCCTAGAAGCAAATAAATAAATAAATAATCCTAGAAGCACAGTTCTACTCTGACACACAGTCACCAAGAGACAGAGTTTATTTGAAAATAACTTTTTTTTCTTATGATGATAGCAAACGCTGAACCTGTGACTAGCTAGCAGGTTAAGAGAAGGGAAGACCTCCACTGGTCTAAGCTCGGGGGCAGCGGGGAGGGTGAGGGGGTTGTCGTTCTCAGACTCATTTCTGCTTTGTGAGCCCCAACTCTAAGGCATGACAACTGTCCCGTTTCCTCCAGGCATCACATGCAAAAAGCCAATGGAATGTGGGATGCCTAGGGCCAGTGTGACGGAGCAGTCAAGACCACTTCTCCTTTCCGTGGTCAGCAAGGTGGTGCAGTGGGAGACATTACCTCAAACAAATGCACTTATCTGAGACTTCCTTCTTCCCTTATTTATCCAGGGTCTGCCTACCATTTCTAAACCTTTGTAATAAATGCCAGCCTGAGGTTTAGGCATTCTCGGTCCTCCTGCTGTGATACTCAAAGGATGCCCATCAAAGTTCATGCCCCTGGTAGCACCATTATGGTATCTGATCAGCCTGTGACATGTTGACCTAATAGTAGGTCCATCAAATACCACATATCACAACGTCATGACACAGGCCACCTTCGCCTGAGGGTAGCAATGCAAAAGCCAGACATTTATCTTGATTTTCTCCTCCTTTTCCATGATCAGGTGGATGGAGTGGAACCCTGGGTTCCCGTTGAGTATTGATGCCAAATGCCATAAGGATTTACCTCGTGATATCCAGTTTGACAGTGAGAAAGGAGTGGACTTTGTTCTGAACTACTCCAAAGCGTAAGTTCATGACAATTGAAGGGCTCTGTGAAGCTCCAGCAAAGGTCAGGGTGGCAAGTAGGTCTTGGGTTCTGCCAAGTAACTGTCCCCAAACACACCAAATTTTATGTTGGCTTGTTAATACAAGTACACAGTCACAGGATAGTCTGTATCTCAGTAAAATTATCCAAACAGCCAAACAATATTTTCAGCCCTTTACACTTAATCTTAGCTCCAATTTAAGAACAATTAGTGCTTATGACATGGCCCTGCTTGCTCAATACAAAACCCTCAGGAAGGAAACACAGAAGATATGGGTGCTATAGCAAAGTGCAGTGAAGAAATTACATGCTGCCCAGCCATCAGATAGAACAGTGTCTGTGGTCTTGAAGACTTGTTTCCAAAAAGCAGATATCTAAGTGAGATGCCTGTCAACTAAGTCCACATTAAAGAAGCACACCAACATCCATGACCCAAGTATTGTAAATTTTATGATCCAAAGCCCAAGGAAGGGATAGTATCTGAGCTTAAATTGTGAGATTCTGGTTTGCAGAAGACGATAGCTGACAGTGAAACCCAAAATACATTTGCAGGATCTACACGCTTCTGGTGATTTCCCTCTAACCCTAACTGAGAGAATAAACTGGTTCCTACATAGAGAGTATTGGAGGGATGACTAGAGCAGATTAGTACGATAAACCTGACTTGAATGGTTAAAACTTGGTCACTTGATCTCCCCTGTGAGACACTTAAGCCTTGATCTGGTTTTCAATATTTTCCATGGGTTTTTCTTCCTTTTTTCATGTTGGGGTTTATCTCTGACATATTTTGTCATTGTGGAAAGCCTGCTTGAATCTTTGTTATGTGTTTTTCTGTTTTTCGGTGTATGAAGCCCAGGATTGATGGACCTCTAGAGACAAAAATTAATAAGGTTTCCTGGGGGGAAGTGGGGCCTAAAAGGATGCTGATATCAAGGAGTTCAGGAGGAAGAAAATGTTTTGAAACGGATTCTGGTAGCAATTGTACAATATTGCTTGATGTAATTGAAGTATGGAATGGTATGATGTCTGGATTAACTCCTAATAAAATGGTTTGGGATATATATATTTTTTCAGGCTTGAGATCAGGTCTGTATTTAGAATCCTCCACCTCCATTCATATGATGCCACCAGGTGACTCCCTCTATGCCAATTTGAGTGTGAATGCTGTCCAGGTGGGGTCTCTGAATGGTAATAGCCCAGGTGCCACTGCTGATCCTCATATACTTGTCACAGCAACTCCATAGGATTGGCACAGTGACTCTCCACATTTTACACGTGATGAGACTGAGGAATGAGATCAGATACCTTGCCCAAGCTCCTTTCTAGCAAATGGCAGAGATGCTATGCAGCTTTACTCAATTGTTATAGAGTGTTTTAAAGAGCTTGCAAAATCATGAGATACATCTAGGACTCCCTGGTCCCACCCCAGGATCAGCAGAGGGGCATGGAAACCTGCGATTGGTACCTTAGGGGATTCTCATAACCATTTCTGTCAGGATTTACACTTACTAGAACTGTAAGGGTGGGGTGACTTCAGCATGTCCAGGATGAAGATTGGGTTAAGAAACACTAGCCTGCTCATTTTCCTGTGGCAACATTTGCATACCTGAGTAGCTGCCTCCCTGGAGAAGGGCAACTTATTTGGTTAAGGTTTTCAAAGGAAAGCAGCAGGAGTCCATGGTTTGGCAAGTTTCCAGTATACACTCCCAGCCCTGAACCAAAGCCATGCCCTCCTTGGATATGGTGAAAGAACTCTTACATATTACTACTATTACTACTACTACTGCCACCGTCACCACCACCACCTTTCTACCATTCTCTGCAGGAAATCCCCTTGGGTATGTAATAAAAAGGGGCTTTCATTTATTAATTCTATTAAAAAAATTCTAATAAAAATAAGAAATCATTTCATTTATGCTTTCTAAGGTGAGTCATCTATTTTATTTCTAACAGAAATCCTAGGAGAAGGGACTATTATTAACAACTTCCAGATGAGGGAAATTCTAACTCGGGTGGATTAAAGTCAAGGACTATGTAGGAGTTGTAGGAGTTGACAGGAGTAAGATTTGAATCCAGGTCTGTTTGTCTCCAAAACTGGGCAGTTTTTCTCCCCTGTTACAATCCAGATCAAACTGGGGAGAAAAATTAAAAGCAAACATTTGAATTCATAATGGAACAATGCCCAACAAATAGCTATCTAGAAACATCATGGTGATTGTTTCACCCTCCACCCAGGAATTAACTGTTTTGCGTAAGGGCATGTAGGTTTGTTAAGAGTGTAGAGCTGGATGGGAAAAGCAGAGCAGAGGCTTTTTTGAGAGGCCATTCTGCAGAGAGAATAAGGACCGAGAAGCTGTGAGCTCAGAAGAACATGGTGCTACAATAGTGAGAAATAACACTTTTGCTTAGTCATGGTGGGTGGCTAGAAAAGAGAATGGAGAGAGGGAGAAGAGATGATTGGATGGATGGATGGATGGATGGATGGATGGATGGATGGATGGATGAAGGGAACAATGAAAGGATAGGAGGGAAGGAAGAAGAATGAACCTGGAAGGAGGGCTGTGCTTTTCCTGAAGAGTGAAACACCAGCTTCTCCTCATGAACCACCGACGAGAACCCACACAGGAAAGCTTCTCAACAAGGACAGTGTTTATCTTCATCCTTCGTGGGAACAGTGTCAAGAAACAAGATATGCACCTCTCCACCATCACATTCATCCTCACTCTTAATATCCTCAAGTTGACACAAGATTATGTAACTACCATAGGGGCTCTGCAGTTTATATAGTTACAGGAAGGGAAGATCAGTCGCCAGATGCTTCCAAGAAATCAGGGGAGCTGAGGGTTAAAAGAGAGGGCCCGTTGGATGTGGCTTGTTGAGGCAGCACCACTCTTCCGTGGCCAAACCACTCTTGCCTGTGAATACCTGAAAGGTATAGCTTCAGTGACCAATGTGGCCCTTCCCTGTTAGGGTCGGGCCCAAACAGCTTTGTTTCTTGCCACTTTGGGGTAACTGGTGACTTGTTTCCTCTGAGCCATCTGCTCAGCCTGGAACAGGGCCAGCCTTTTTCTGTAAGCCTTGCTCTCACCCCCTTCGGATAGCCACACTGTGACATAGAAAATGAAGAAGCTGCTAGAAGGGAAGCAGAAAGGGAAGTGAGGGTCCTAGAATTTCCCCCTCCCCAGTCCAGGGTCCACTGCTGTGACCAGCCCAGAGGTGGCTTGGGGCTAGTAGTTAGGCTGGGGCGACCTGGGGCAACTAATGGCTGTTCAGGCCACAGGTTCCTCTTTTGTGCTATCGCCCATCCTTGAAGTCCTGAATAGGCTGCTTATATGCAGAAGTATTTTCCCCTAGATGACATACAAATATTTTCCTCCTAACTTCACTTCATCCTGGATCTGTGGCTTCCTCTGAATGCTATCACATTCCGCCCTATTTTCAGTTTTAGTTTTATGTTTTGAGGTCCAAGAGACTCGGGGAAATGTGATCCTGGAGGCTGACACGCTGCTGGTTCCCCACAAGGTCACTAAGGCAGGAACCCTAGGAAAAGACCTCTTTCAGGGGCATCTTTCTGAAGCTGAGTCATTTTGAAAGCACCCAGTAACTTTTGAGGACTGGAAAGAATTCTTTTCTCTTAGAAACAAATTCTATTCCACTTCCCTAGTGATGTTAACATCACAATGAGGACATGAGTCACAGGATGGTCAACAGCCTTAGCTAACAAGGGAGGTGGTGAGGTCAGAGGGCGTTAGGCAAAAGAGGGGCAACGAAGACTTGAAAAAGACAGCCGGATGCCTCCAGGCCCAAACCTGCTGCTGTACAGTGATAATACTGTAGGCACATGGATAGGCACAGCAAACAGGTATGCAAAAGAAGCTCTCCTGTCATCCCTATGAGGGGCTGGGATAGATGAAACAGGCAGGTGGATCGCAGTACGATACCAGCACTATTGTGCAGCTCCAAGTTGCTGGACCCAATGTGCACAATTGCTAGGTCATCATGATGTTCTGCCTGAGGATGCCTCCCTGAGGATGACAGGCCCCAGGAGAGACAGGGTTTCCTGAATGTCTGTGGATTCCTGGCCCTGGGTTTCTCAGGGTGCTTCAGAGTGACCAAGTTAGGACATCACATACTTTACCTTGGAGGCCCATAACAAGCCCCAGACTCTGCCCTGTCAGTCAAATTTATTCTGTATTTAAGACCCAAACCTCAGTTCTTTGAATGCTGCAGGGTTGGGTGGTCAGACTCCCATAGCTTTCCTATATGTGTGCAGCTCAAACAAGGTGCCTCACCAAAGGAGGAATGAGTCAAGGTGGTACTGATAGCATTTTTAATATAGTGGTTTCCTGATTTCTGTTTTGGCTTTGCCATCCTGTGTAATGAACATTTGGAAACTTCTTATATCCTTATCACCAAACATGCCCAGGATTAGGCAGAAATAAGTGAAGGTTAAACTGAATTGAACTGCCCCTACTTCACCCAAATTCCAGGAGACTGGGGAGTATATCTGCATAGGAGGTATTGAGCTCTCTTCCTGACTGCTCACACATGAGCTAACCTACTAGGTGGAGGAATGCCTGAATGATTGAATGAATGAATGAATGGAAGTGTACATGCGTGCACTGTTCTGCGGGCCGAGCCTGGTTCTCTTTTACAGGTGAGGTGGAGGAGGAGGAAGACAGATGGAGGGTGGTTTCCTGGAACTTTCCAGTCTCTTGGCTGCCAGTGTCCCAGGGTGTCTACAGGCCCTGTGACACCTGGGAGTGAAAAGACTTTGCAGAGGAGGTATGGCCTGGCCACAGGCACAGGAATGACATATCTCCCATCCGCAGGATGGAGAATCTGTTCATCAACCGCTTCATGCACATGTTTCAATCCTCCTGGAGTGACTTTGCTGACTTTGAGAAAATCTTCGTCAAGATCAGCAACACTATTTCAGGTGAGGACACGTTTGGAGGGCTGCTCATGGTATGAGGAGAAGGTTTACAATTCTTCTTTCTGAGATTGGCCTGGAGTTTGGCAAAGGGTTTCCCTACCCCACCTAGTGATGAGTCAGCCATGCAGGCCAGCTGCAGGCTTCTGTCCATTCCAGGCAGGGCTGGACGTCCTGTGACATGGGTTACTGTGGTCACCCTCCTCTCCTGTAGCTTATCCTTCTGGAACATTCAGGTTTGAGCACACTGAACCTCATCAAAAGTGTCAGAAATAGCAACTTTTTTCTTCACAAGAATAAATCATTTATGATGCTTCTAAACAGAGTTGAGGCTGAACAAATCTTGTGTTTTAAACATTCTTATAACAGTAACATTGGTTTCCTCTGGGCAAATATTTATTTAGAAGACTAGCACAATAATTACATTAATGGCATTAAGAAGGACAGAACATAACCAGAAAGGTAAGGAAATAGAAGTTATGGAACAATGATTATATGTTGAAAAACTATATATTGATAGATGGGGAGAACTTCCTATGCAAGCTCCTCCCCATGATTCTTCTCCCCTCCCCTCCGCTCCCTTCCCTGTCGGAGTCCTTCATACTGAGTTAGAAGGTCTGACTTCTGGAAAGAGGGTGCTCCAGGAGCCTTCTAAGTAACCTGGACAGATGATGTGTGGTGATGAGCAGGGGACACGCTGTTCAATATGGAGCCTCTGGCTGTCAGGAAGCACTCAAGACAGATATGGACCCCTGGAGTTACTGCTGGGCCAAGATGTCACAGTAAGGCAGTAGGAGCTGTGGTCTGTGCTGCCTTCCGCTCATAGCTCACTCTACTCTCTAGAACGGGTCATGAATCACTGGCAAGAAGATCTCATGTTCGGCTACCAGTTCCTGAATGGGTGTAACCCTGTGCTGATTCAGCAGTGCATGAAGTTGCCGGAGAAGCTTCCAGTTACCACCGAGATGGTGGAATGCAGCCTGGAGCGACAGCTCACCCTACAGCAGGAGGTAGAGGTAAGCCCTGTTGGCTGGGAAAGCAGCCACTGCCAGAGGTCCAAGGTCAGATGGCCTCATTTGTACCTCAGAAAGACACAAAGCACTTTCTACTGGCCCTGGACTCGTTTCCCGGCTCATCTGATGATGGTGAGATTGGCTACTCTCCATGAAACAGTCATTTCTTTTTCCTTCCCTGAAGTCTGTACCCATGGAGTTGCCTGGGTGCAGCTGCAAATTGTGTATAGTATCTTGAGGTAGGAATCGGGTGACATTCTTTATAGTGCTTTGATCTGGAAACATTGTGCAGCTATTATTGGATGCTGTGAAGTTGATTCCGACTCATAGTGGCCTCAGGTGTGCAAAGTACATGCGTTCCATAGCGTTTTCAAGGTTGTGATCTTTCCGAAACAGGTCTCTAGGCTTGTCTTCTGAGGCTAACTAAATTTGAATTGCCGTACCCTTTGGTTAGTAGTGGAGTGTTTAACAGTTTACACCACCCAGAACACAATCTCTGAAAAACACTCACTGCCAGCGAATCAATGCTGACTCATAGAGATTCTAAGCATTGGGCTTAGTAGAACCGCCCCAATGGGCTTCTGAGACAGTAACTCATCTTTCTCCTGCAGAGCAGCCGGTGGTTTCGAACTGCTGACCTTGAGGTTAGCAGTCCAACAGGTAACCACTATGCCACCAAGGCTCCTCAATAGTAAGAGTTAATTAAAAGAGCTGCTGCTCAGTTTTGCCTTTCTATGCAACACATATTGTATCAAATTGGAGAAAAAGTCATGCTCTACACCAAAACAAGAAAAGCAAGGGAGTGGGTAGGGGGAATTGATGAGATGTTTTACTTGGTGAACAGGACAGTCGATGACATCTGCTACTGCCCTTGCCCTCTCCCAGCCTTGTGTCTCAAGCCCTTACCTGCAACAAAGACCCTGCCGAGTCCCATCGCTACCTAATCTTAAGACAGAAATTGATTAAACTGCTCTTGCCTGGATCTGGTGTGACATGGCCCCCTCAATGAGTCCCTTCCCACCAAAACCAGAGCAACTGGGCTCCCTGGCAACAGACCCAGCCCTACCTGCCCCCTGGCGACTAATGAATGGGGAGATGGGGAGGCTTGTGTGTTTCCATTTGATGTGTCTTGCTTTATCAGTCCTGCCTTGAGGCCCAGCCAAAAAGGGATGGACATTGCCATGTGTAGGCAAAGCTCTCAGCCTCCCTGTGCACCTGACTATGTGTGACCACCTTCCTTGTGGGCACAACTCCAAGTACCTTGCCCACTTGACTTGGGGTCGGGCCAGCTGCCTAGTAGAAGGTCCCTGCCTCCATTCCAGCAGTCCTCGCTCTCTCCTAGTAGACCCACTCCAGCTTCAGGCCACTACCAGGTCACATGACAGCTCACACCACACACACAGAGTAGTATTTCTCTATATATTCCATTGCTGGCATGGAGTAACATCAATGCAATGGCTATAGGCTTCATATTTCAAATCAGAGAATCATGGAACCTTAAAAACCAAAGAATCTAGAATTGGAAAGAACTGAACATCCATCTTTGTGCATTCTTCCTCATGCACGGGCAGGAGACAGGCAGGATGCCTGGGGCATTGTATTAGTCTGGGTACTTTGGAGAAACTAATCCACGGCGACTCACGTATAAGAGAGTTTTATGTAAAGAAAAGGTGCATCA